AGGTAAGCACAGGGTACATTATAAATGTGAAAAACTTACTCCTGTGGAAATCTACAACCTAGATTCGTATCCTGACCTACCATACGCCTGTACACAGTGTAGCAGGACTGATGATTTCAAGGCGATAAAGATGACGGAAAAAACACAGGACAGTACTCAGTGCAGCAAGAATGAGGATACAATCCAGAAAACATCGGATGAAGATAACATCAATAGAAGTATTGATAACCTCATAAAGCAAAAGGATGATGTGATTCGCAGCCTGTTGTTAGAGAAGGAAAACCTGCTTCAACAGTTACACCAGTGCCAAAATGAAATTCTTAAACTCAAAAGCTCGGGTGCCGGCAATAAACCTAGATCTACTAAAAATGATGAATCATCGGCAGATACCGCCCAGCTTCCACTACCCTCTACCGCTCCTCCCAAACCGGACCAGTCTACTCAATCTCCCGGTATTGACCCATCCAGATCGTACGCTGACACAGTACGTACAGGTAGAAGGATGTCAAAACTAGTTCCCCGAGGAATCGAAGAAGCTCAAACTCTTATTGTGGGTAGCTCTCTGTTGAAGAACATGAGCAACAGAATCCTCTCTAAAAGCTCAACCAGAGATGCGTAGCTGACACAAACAGAGGAGCTCATCTGAAGGACATTCACGAGAGAGATCGCCAACTCTTCTTAACAAAGCTAGAAAACTACGTAACATTGTTCTTGTTGCGGGTGGCAATGACACTGCCGACCAATCAACATCTGTGCGAAAGATCGTTCAACAATATGAAGAAATATTAACAGAAATAAAAGCCACCAAAGACGCCTCTGTCTACGTTTCGTCAGTACTTCCTCGCCAAACCCCGACCTGGCACAACTCGAAATCCAAAGAGGTAAACAAAAACTTACAAATGATCCGTAAAACGCACGACTGTGCGTTTTTGGACACTTTTGAGGAGATGATGCACTTCAAGCCACGTGATGTACTCGTTCAGGATGGCATCCACCTGTCTAGGAACGGAGTGAAAGTGCTCAGCAACTTACTAGTGGAATCAATATCCTTAAAATTTCAGTGCGAACCACACTACAACAGGAATCTTCGGGCCCCTCCGGCACAGAACTTCTTCTCATACCCTGATGATACAACATTGTCCATGAGATATGCGCGACCTAATCCTCATTTCCTGTTCAATGCGAAACAGATGCCTTTCGTGCCATCTCCATACTTTCCACATATGCCTCATCAAGTACCAAGTTCCATGTGGTCTCACCCCCGTTATTGACTGGGGTTTTCACTGTTTATTTCCAGAAATTAATAATGGCTGACAAAGCAACATACAGAGCTTGTATAGGTATTTTCTATAATGCAGTTTATTCATCATGTTTTAAAAGTCAGATCTTTTATTCAGACAGCTTTCTCTATAATTTCCTTAATTTGTTCTTCTTTATTTGTAAATGGATCCGCAAATGTTTAAGAAATTAGCAAACACAAATTTTAAATGTTATTTTCATTAGCAGCTTGTTACTTTTACTTCTTTCGGGCGATGTTGAATTAAATCCAGGCCCCACAAAATCTGCAACCGAGTTATCAATATTTCACTGAAATGTTAGAAGCATCCGTCATAAATTGTCAAATATTCTTAATGATATATCTGACTTTGATATCTTGTGTTTTACTGAGTCGCATTTAGATAGTAAAATCCAGACTAAAGAGCTACTCATTGACCACTATCAACCCCCTTTCAGAAAGGATAGAAATTGTTTTGGAGGAGGTATAATAGTATATTTTTCTGATTTATTACATGTTAAAAGAAGACAGGATTTAGAAACACCTATGTATGAAATTATGTGGTTCCAGATATTTTTGCCTCATAAATGTTTAATGTTATGTGTAATTCAATTAGTTCTGCTCTTGATATATCCAAACACATGGTTTTGCTGGGAGATTTTAACCAAGATCTTTGTTGTACTCATGTTCACAACGTACGTGACCTGATTATTCACTACAACCTACAAAATGTTATTACTGAACCAACAAGAGTAACGCCCGTCTCATCCTCCTTGATTGATCCCATTATTTTATCTCATGATTGTTCATACAAAGACGCAGGGGTCGTTGAATTAACATCAGATATTAATGATCACAAGGGAACCTATGTCTATCTTTCAAGCTATGTAAATGTCAACAGTGCATACAAGAAACAAGTTTGGTTGTATAACAACGGTAATTATGATGCTTTAAATAATCTGATTAGGGAAACTAATTGGGAGAGTATTTTTTTCTAAAACTCCAAATGTTAACGACGCTTGTGTAATATTTACTTCTCTGCTTAAGGTATATATGGTTAGATGTATCCCAACCCAGACCATTACAGTCAGACCTAAAGACAAACCTTGGTTTGACAGTGAACTTCGGAGAGAAATTAGAAAAAGAGACCGTTTAAGGAAGAGGGCATTTCGAACACTGAATACTTCTGATGTATCTAAATTCAAAAAGCAGAGGACTAAAGTAAACAATCTTAAAAAATTAGCCAAGGAATTTTTTTATTCGAATTTAGGTAGTTTTTTATCTTCTCACTCTACTCAATCAACAGATTATTGGAAGATTTTTAATTATTTGTTGAAAGGTTCTACTTCATCAGGACCCATTCCCCCCTCTCGTAACTGATGATTCCGGAATACCTTCAGCATTTACAGACATTGACAAAGCCCAAACGTTCAATAAATATTTTGTATCTGTTTCCAATATCAATGATGAGGGCAAGACTTCGCCACCTTTTAGCCATCGCTGTCCTAACAGCATTACAAGCGTTAGTGTTACTGAAAAGGAAGTATCGGATATGATTAAGACTTTACCAGCGAACAAAGCTAGTGGACCTGATGGTATTAATATGAGAATGTTAAGACGAATTTGTACATCAATAGCTGAACCTCTTTGTTTACTGTATAATATTTCTCTGAGTCAGTGTGTTTTTCCTTCAGCTTGGAAAACAGGCAATATTATCCCTATTTTCAAAAAAGGAGATAAATCCCTCCCTACTAGTTACAGACCCATAAGTTTATTATCTATCCTCGGGAAAATGTTTGAAAAAATAATGTTAAAGCATTTACATAACCATTTCAATAAACATAGCATTTTAAGTAAATTTTAATCAGGTTTTACTACAAACCACTCTACCACATGTCAACTCATTGAAATCTTCCACAATATATGTTCAGCTATAGATACTCATCACCTTTATTGCATGATTTTTTGTGACATTTCAAAGGCCTTTGACAGGGTGTGGCATAAAGGGCTATTGCTCAAATATGAAAATTATGGTGTTCGTGGGCATTTACTTAGTTGGTTAACAAACTATTTATCTGATAGACGACAGAGTGTTTCCATCAATGGTACATTATCAAAAGAATTAAATGTTACTGCAGGAGTTCCTCAAGGATCTGTCCTTGGTCCATTTTTGTTCCTTGTGTACATCAATGATTTACCTGAAACTCTAACAAATGTCACAAGACTGTTTGCCGACGACACTTCAATTGGTGTTGCAGGAAAAGATGTAAAAACCATAGAAGCTACTCTTAATTATGATTTAGCAATATTGAATGAATGGGCTGACAAATGGTTAGTTAAGTTTAACCCTAACAAGACCAGATTCATGCTTTTTAAAAATGGAAATTGTCCACAAGTTCCCGACTTGATTTTCAATAATGAACATTTGGAACGTGTACATCAACATAAACACCTCGGTGTCATCTTTTCAGATAATACAACGTGGTCTCATCATGTATCTGCTGTAATAGAAAAGGACGCAAATTTCTTTTCCTCATTACGGACGCTAAAGTACATATTACCTAGATATATCCTTTCTAGTATGTACGAAATGTATATTAGGCCTATTTTAGAATATGCATCTGAGGTCTGTGATAAATGCCCAAGCTATATTTGTGATAAACTTGAAATGTTACAACTTGAAGCAGCAAGAATTGTAACCGGATTGCCTAAATTCGCTTCAAGATATAGTTTATACAGTGAAACTGGTGGGTTACCATTGAAAGTTAGACGAACGCAAAGGAAACTCTGTACATTCTACAAAATTGTTAACATGCAAGCTCCTGATTACCTGATAGAGTTACTTCCACCTATTACTTAAACCATTTCCGGATACAACTTGCGTAACAAATCAGATTTGGCTGTTCCTAAATTTCGCACCTCAATTCTCCAAAAGTCATTTATTTATGATTCTGCAAGTTTATGGAATGCTCTCTCCTCTACAACAAAATGTACAAATTCATTATCATCGTTTCAATCAAAGTTATCTGGAAATAATGACAAGGTTCCAAAATATTTTCTGTTTGGTGAAAGAAAGACAAATATACTACACACGAAGTTAAGACATTCGTGTAGTTCATTACAAGCAGATCTGTTTCGTGTTAATCTATCAGAGAGTAGAGCTTGCAATTGTGGTGCTCCGGTGGAAGAAGCTAACCATTTCTTCCTAAAATGTCCAAAATTTGTCAGTTGCCGTTTTGATCTGAAGAAAGACTTTGAACTATCAAAAGTTCAGTTAGACATTGATACCATTCTTTACGGCAACCCTGCTCTGCCAAATACTATTCATGAAAATATCTTTAGACATGTGCATAAATACATTGTACGAAGTAAGCGCTTCAATTAATCAAAAGTATGTCTCAATTTTATTATGTCCATCCATTACGTCCAATCATTATTGTTCATTATTGTTCATGTTTCTGATGGGAGCGGGCGGTAATAAGTTACATAACTTGTGCCCAATCCATTTCAACACTGAATAAAATATGTTCAAACAAACAAACAAACAATAGCCGGAATATTGCTGATTGAGCCGTTAAACCAAGAACATACACTCAACAATTACCCTGAGTCAAATAACTATGCGAGTTTCTGTTCAAACAGGTGCCACGAGAACATAATTTAACTGTATTAAGAAATATACCATGATTTGATGCTCTAATCTTCCAAACAGAATGAAACACTGTTTCCATGGTAACATTTTATACGATACAGTTGCAAGTTATAACCATATTTACATTGCATAAAAAGTCATTTAGATTCAAACCCTTATTTACATGATCGCGTAACACTATTTTTCCTGGCAGTTTTATGCTTAACATTACACTTCTAAGTTTGTTTCCAATTTCTCCGAACTTTCTCGCATTGCATTAAACAAGTCATCATTGGATGGTTCTGCAAAAAAGGCCTTCAAGTTCTTAACACTTGATGGATCTTTCCTGTCATCAGTTTCGACCACAAGTTCAATACCCTCAAAATCGTCCTTGGTTGGAACCTGCTGTGATTGCATGTTGTCCTGTATCTTCAACACATTCTTTTCTGGCTTTTCCTCAGCTCCAATCAAATCTGTAGGTTCCTGGCATGATTCAAAAGCAGAATTTGGATAAGATATCTGTCTTGATGTTGTTGTGTCTGTCCCGCCATCTTCAATGGACCTGGACTTGATTTTGGGCAGAGAGAGTTCAAGCCTGCGCCAGAATGCCTTGAGCGTACTCTCATCTCCATTCTGTGGCCACTCTATGTAGGTGATGGACTTGAGGATGCTGGAGAGAGTCCTGTCTGTGAGGTGCTTCTGCTGACTGATGTCCTCCAGCAGGAGAGGGATGACCTTGTGTTTCTGCTTCAGCATCTCGTTGTGGGCCACCTGGTACTCAAACCTAGTGAAGTCACTCTCCATGTAATGCGGGGACAGAACCAGAATAGTCCTCCGGCTTTTCTCGATGGCCCAGAGGATGTTGTTCGCTATTGCTGAAACACATACAGAAATGGCATATAATCTTGAGGGGCATATAGAAGTTGGTATTCAAGTATAAGACAAAATATTATGAATGTCAACTTCTTCGTTATTGTATACACAACACTTTTGGGCTTTTAATTGCCACTTCGTCAAGAAGAGTGGGTGAGTGATCAGCGATATTCCAGCATTATCACGGTGGGAGACACTAGAAATGGACTTCACACATTGTACCCATGTGGGGAATCTAACCCCGGTCTTCAGCGTGACGAGCGGACGCTTTAACCATTAGGCTACCCCAAAGAGTGAGGAATGGGCCATGGTTATTTCACGCATTAAACAAAACAAAAACAGAAAACGGCAGAATGTTTATATATATATTTGAAGGTGTATTGAGTCATTGACATCCATATCAATAAGGCGTTATATGAAGGGCAATACATCAAGGTATGTGAGGTAGTATGTTCTGCAAGTGTGATATCATGTTCTGCAGTGTAGCCATGTTCTGGGAGCTTCTTATTTCATTAGAAATGTTTAGACGTCACCTGTTATAAACAAAATGAACCTTGCAAATTCGAGATACTTTTATCCATGCACATTTACATGGTAGCTACAATGTACATACTTTCTCCAGGGACAAAATCTCTCTGGTGCAGGCACAGCTTGAAGCCCCGTTGTTTCTCCAGCTCTTGATACAAGGTCTTATAAACGAACGTCTCATCCTCTGGTGAGGACTTGTAGGATACGAAGGCATCAAATTCCTTTCCATCTACAAATGACAAGAACATATATGCTACTTTTCACACTCTCAGACTTATCGTGTTTTACAAGAAGAGTGTTACTGCATTCATTACGACATTCGACAAAAAGGAGCGTAATTGTTTTCATTAGACAAAAGGGAAAACATTACGACATTAGACAAAAGGGAAGAGTGTAACTATTCATTACGACATCAGACAAACGGGAAGAGTATAACTGTATTCATTACGACATTATACAAAAGGGAAGAGTATAACTGTATTCATTACGACATTATACAAAAGGGAAGAGTATAACTGTATTCATTACGACATCAGACAAGAGGGGAAGAAAGTAACTGTATTCATTACGACATTAGACAAAAGGGAAGAGTATAACTGTATTCATTACGACATTAGACAAAAGGGAAGGGTATAACTGTATTCATTACGACATCAGACAAGAGGGGAAGAGAGTAACTGTATTCATTACGACATTAGACAAAAGGAAAGGGTATAACCGTATTCATTACGGCATTAGACAAAAGGGATGAGTATACCCGTATTCATTACGACATTAGACAAAAGGGAAGAGTGTAACCGTTTTCATTACGACATTAGACAAAAACAGGAAGGACTCCACGGAAGTCGCCTCGACTCCACGACAGCATAATTAGCTCTCATTTCATCCATAATTTATACAGTAATTTCAGATTTTCGGCAGTACATGCTTATCACATGCCAGCCTTCGCATATAAACATTGTGCGAAATGGTCACTGGCCCGCTAGCCCGTGGCTAGTAAAAATCTAGTCGGGCCAATAAATCACCACAGTCACTGGCCCGACAGGCTAGTGAATTTTCATGAGGTAATTTAGTAAATATATCACTCTCTCTGACTTGTTAAGTTATAACACATATGCAAGATTGTGGCCTGATAGAAATGTTCATCATATCAGCAGCTTAATGATGAAACCCGTGTCTACCAAAAGATTGTACATTCAAATTTCGAACTAGTGAATTATTTTGTTGGCTAGTAACTTTCAGGCATAGCTAGCCCGACTGGTTAGCAAAATTTGGAAACTATTTCACACACTGCACATAAATGATCATGGTCTGAAATTTAAGACTATGGTGTTTAACAGTTGCATAACGCTGCTTGAAACTGGTTTTGGTCAGTGAATATATCGACCTGTCAGTTCCGCACTATTAATATTAATGGATTGGTCCTACATTTATTTATATCTATTTATCCAGATAATGACCTAATAAAAAACAAAATAATCATCATGCTGCTGCTATGATGCTGCTGCTGTTGATGCTGCTGCTGATGATGATGGTGACTTGAATATACCTATTTGCCCTACAAATACCGACCGCTTTGTGGTGTCTCACATAGCACCCGATACTCACCATCATCCTCGTGAGGCTGGAAGTAGTACAGGACTCGCATGATGAAGATGTTCCTCTTCTTCATGAGGACATAGGCCACGAGGACAAGCAGTCCGAGGACGACCAACACGACAACTACACTCCCAATCAACCATTTCCAGTTTCCGGCTACTGCAGAACAAAAATATAGAGATTGTACAAACAAACTGCAATCCTAATTTTGTCTTTAAGACTGGTCTTACATACTTGAAACAGATTTGATGCATTAGGGTTTGGTCCTTTTGACAGTCGTTGGTGAACACCATCCTGCTAATTGTCGGAGGCACTGACGGTTTAATAATTGTTGGAATCACCGGTAATGAGTGTGCTTTACAATTTTTATTTCTTTTTGAGAGTGAGTGAGTGAGTTTAGTTTTACGCCGCACTCAGCAATGTTCCAGCTATATGGCTGTAGATAATCGAGTCTGGACCAGACAATCCAGTGATGAACAGCGCTCATGATGAGCATCGATCTGCGCAATTGGGAACTGATGACATGTGTCAACCAAGTCAGCGAAACTCACCACCCGATCCCGTTAGTCGCCTCTTGCGACAAGCATGGGTTACGGAAGATCAATATTCTAACCCAGACCTTTTGTTGTTTCTTTTTGTTGTTTAACGCCTCTCTTAGCAATATTCCTGTTATATGACGACTAGCGTGCTTGTCTGGACCACATTATCTAATGACTGGCATCATGCGCATTCATCTAAGCTAATGGAATGCGTTGATATGCATCAACCAAGTCCCCAAGCCTCTCGCAACAAGCATGGGTGGCTGAAGACCAATTCTAACCTGGATGTTGACGGATGCGTCCTTTAGAGAGCATAGGAAGAGTGATAAAGTTGGGTTTAACCTCGTATTACACGGATTACACAGGTTGGGCAAGATGCTGTTTGATGGCGATTCATCAACAAATGTTCATCATATAGGCGGAATCGGATAGTGGAGATCTCTTATTATAGAAAGGCCATTTCGTGTATGAGGCATAAGACTTTTCGGATAACAACTTCTTGTTTATTGCGGATAGGGAAGTTTCGGTGTTGATTCATTCGCCGTTTTCAAGCTAAAACATCTTCATTATTGATGACAAACTTCAAGAAGATAAAACATTTCGCTTATATTTATCTGAATACTGACACTTATATAACCATGACCGCATTTTAGCTCATTTAGCTGTTCTACATGCAAGTGGTCCTCCCTCGTAAGAAACAGCGAAAAGTGCCAACAAAATAATGATCGTTTGTTAAACAACTGTTTTATTTGGGTGTCAAAATTATGAGGCAAATGATCAGAGTTGGTCTGTCGATTTCATGTGATTGTGCAAAGTTTGATTTTGTTGCAATTATTAGATATTGTGTTAGTGAGCAATTCATCGGTCTCAAATGAAGTCAAACCAGGGAGACTGTTATAGAGTATCCCTTGTCAAACGGAGGATAAATCCGGTGGGATTATATACGGACGAAGAAAGAAAACGGAAAGGTCAGGGCCTAGATTTTCGATGCTCTCTTAGCGCTAAGATAGTCGTAAGTGCCATACATTATCATTAACTTACGACTATCTCAGCTAAGAGAGATTCGAAAATCTGGGCCCAGGTCAGGTGAAAAGTCACGTAGGGACTACTTCCGGTATTTACAAACAAACATGGCGTTGCCCTTGTCAATCAACAATTAAGTCAGAACTAACCATGTGGGATGTGGATATACCACTGGGATAACTGTTCTTATTAAGAAATCAATAGGGCAAGATAAAGAATTTTGTAAATGGGGCGTAACGTAAGTTTAAATATTGATACAATCCAGCGAGGACACTGACAAGAAGGGCCAGTCTTCATGTTTGTGCTTGAAGACCCCTGCGACTTATGTCCTTTTCCGCAATTTGAAAATAGTCAGTGAGTATAGTTTTACGCCGCTTTTAACAATATTCCAGCAATGTCACGGCGGGCGAGACAAGCAATAGGCTTCACACATTGTACCCATGACGAGAATCGACCTCGATGAGCGAACGCTTTAACCACTATGCTACCCCATTGCCTGCAATTAACAATAGATAGATTTTACGAAATATGTCTTGATTGTTGCCTTGTTTTGATTATGTTATTGTGTGAACATCTGCTTCAGTTCGTATTGTCACGACCTGCTGGTGACAGGACACGCATACTCCAAATAAAAGGTCCCTCTCAGGCTTGCATTTTGTTGGTTGGCATTTTAGAAGTACAATATAGACAAACTTAATCTAACTAAAGGAGTTGTTGTCCATAAAGTTTGTCTATATTACATTTATAATGTTGTTAAAATAAATGTATTTTGTTTGTTTTATTTTTATTTTGCATTTTCGTTAAATATATTCGAGAGAGAAGCCATGATTATACACTGGCATCTAATAGGCTAGGATTCGAGTAGCATTTAGAAGATACAATGAAAATAGATTATGGATTTACCAACTACTTCTCTTATTGTATAAAGCATACGAGTAATGATTTGATGACCCCTTGCACAATTAAAGGATGTGGTAACTGAGTTCTTCACATTGTTTACGCAGGTTCATTCTCAGGGCACCCATGAAGATCCGGGTTAGAATTGACCTTCAGCAACCTATGCTTAACGTAAGAGGAGGCTAACGGTATTGGGTGGTCAGGGGCTGACTTGGTTGACACATGTCATCGCATCCAATTGCGTAGATCGATGCTCATGATGTCTTTCACTGGGTTGTCTGGTCCGGATTCGATTATTTACAGACCGCCGCCATATAGCTGGAATGTTGCTGAGCGCGGCGTAAAACTAAACTCACTCACTCACTCACTCACTCACTGGTCCAGATTCGATTATTTACAGACCGCCGCCATATTGTTGGAAACCTGTTGAGTGCGGCGTAAAGGAGACCCACATAAAGTCATTTCTTACGGCCAGCTAAGGTTCTTGCGGAGCTTTTCGGATTCCTGCGTCCATTATTTGCCTAACCCACATACTGCCAGTATTGCTGTCTCCCTGTCACACCAGTGAATACCCATGCGGACGTGCTCAAGTTCGTCTAGTGGAGGACACGTTCCCTTTGCTTGAACCGTCAGACACGCCCATTCGTAATAGGACCAGCGAGCGATTCAGGATATGGCGGATGTACAGTCATGAACCATGAACTATATGACGAAATCGCGTCGAGCTTATAAATTATTATCTGAGAGAAATGTGTCATTTTGAAATCAGGTCTGACGTCTTGTATCAACTAAAGCGTATATTTTATTCTCGCCATTCTTGACGATCTAAAATACAAGTTTTACTTCAACCTGGAAATCAACACGTAAAACAGCCTAGAAAAAATATGCTGATGTCACATTGTGAGTTATGGACCGTTTATAATTCATGGCTGTGTGTATATGTTTGGTGGTGGGTGGGGTGGTGGAGATGAAAATGAATTTAAGGGGGATCACCCATTTTGTTCTGGGGAGGTAGGGAGAGTCATCAAATTTGTACATATTAATATTAAATTAATATGCTTACAAATTAGGGGGGGGGGTCGTTGCTTTTGTACATGCGCCTCCATAAAAATCATCATCACCCCCCTAGCCATAAATTATGAACGGTCGCTTTGTAAGTTTGATTTTACGCCGCTTTTAGTGATATTCCAGCAATATCACGGTGAGGGAACCAGAAATGGGCTTCACACATTGTACCCATGTGGGCAATCGAACCCGGGCCGGTGTGAACTCTTTAACCACTAGGCTACCCCACGGCCCCTGTTTCGGTGTGGATCAGGTTGTCCAAGCATGCGTCATTACCGGGCTCCTTGTCTATTTATGTTGTCAGTGTTTTGTCTTACCTGTCACAATGGTTTTTCTTTGGATTACTTCAGCGCAGGTAGCACCTGTGTGTGTGAAGATGCAGTTGCAAAACTCGGGTGAGCTGATGTCCAGGCGAGCGCACTCCCCATTATCCCCGCAGTCAAGGTTGCAAGGCCACTTGCAAAACTGACCAGTGAATCCTTTGTCACACTCGCATCTTGTACCGTCACTTGTTGTTACACAGTCACCATCGAAACAGATATAACCGTTCTTACAATGTGTTGGTGTTTTTCTTGTTGAGCCGACTGTAGTGTCAGCTTTCGGAGGAGACGACAACGGAGTTTCACAAAATCTCCCCGTATACGCTGTCGCGCAAATGCAGGATTCACCACAATCGGCACACGTTCCTGCATTATTGCATGAGTTGTTATACAAACACTTGTCCAAAACACATTCAGCACCTGTTGTGTTTGAAGGTGCCGATGTTTGATTTGTTGACGGTGACGATGTTTCATTTGTTGTAGGTGATGTAACAGTCATCGTCGTTGACGACACCGGCGTTTCACAAAGATCCCCCGTAAAACCAGAAGGACAGTTACATTTGGGTTCACAGGCTTTGTTAGAAAGACAGGTTCCTCCGTTCTGACAGGTTGAGTGGACAGCGCACGGGTCGGTCTCACATTCGTCACACGATGTTCCAGCGAACCCTGGCCTACAGATACAATACAGGCCACATGTTGTCATGTTTTTCTTGCATGTTCCACCGTTGTGACAAAACGATTGAAACAAACATGGGTTTATTTGATCACAGGTAGGATTCACTGGTGTGAGTTGCCTTTTCTCCCTCTCACGGGCTGACCCATACGTGATGGCACAGCTTAGTACACACAGCCAGATCACCCCAGCGGACATTTTGAACTGGATCACTGTATACTGTCTGTACCTATCTTCAGCAACACAACGGACTGTCTCTCAAACCAATGCTTCACCGACGCCGTTCTCGCTGACGATGACGTCTGACTGCTGTGTTCAGTCAGATGAGCTATGGTGTACGTCACATGCACATCTACAGTACACGGTTGTTTGGTTTCTATCTCACCACCTTATTGGCTGCTGAGTATGTATTCATCCGAACGAACCCGGATCTATCTTCAGCGGTTTCCGCGCTTCAGTAACTCGGAGCAGAGAGACCGTGTCAGCTAGGTTCTATTTAGGGCGGTTCCTACATGAATTGCAATCTAACTCGAAAACTAATAACCATAAAATACTCAATCAAACACTGATCATAATGAAAACATCAGACCAACTCTGTGAGTTTTTTGCAGAATTTATGTCCTAAAAATGAAAAAGTTGTTTAACAAACTATCATTCAAATATTGACACAGTTCACTATTTGTTACGAGGGAGGAGTGCAGAGAAAGGGACAGCCGGGCTGGCGAGAAAAGCTGGTGACGGCACAGCACATGTTAATGAATCAATAACTTTGTCGGCACTTGTGCACGTGCTTCTCAAAGACCTGGCTGTCCCTTTCTCTGCACTCCTCCCTCGTAACAAATAGTGAACTTTGCCAGTATTTTAATGATAGTTTGTTAAACAACTTTTTTAATTTAAGGACATAAATTCTGCAAACAAATCACAGAGTTGGTCTGATGTTTTGATTATGATCAGCGTTTCATTGAGTAGGCCTATTATATGTTTATTAGTTTTTTAGTTAGATTGCAATTCATCGGTCCGCTTTTGAGCCAAACGCACTATAGATAGCTGTAATATACGTCACCGTGTTTACTGTTGTCTGCATCCATTATGAGTAAGCCAAGTACTCGGAAACAGGAAACTGATGCAAGTCGCAGTGCTTCCGAGTTCCCAGTACTTTGACTTTGACCTGGTTTCTCTGAGTGTTTCGTCGTATCATCACCATGGTAACGGATGTAGGTGATGCAATATCGATGTGTTCTCTAACAATTATATTATCTGTGTTTATGTACTTTTTGTTGTGCAGTTGTTGTTGTTGTTATGCAGTTGTTGTTGTTGTTGATGATGGTGGTGGTGAGGGTGTTTTGTTGATGTTGTCGTGAGCGAACTCGTTGCATATCTCATATTTAGATCAGAGAACCATAATATATTTAGGCTGTTTCGTCTTTGGTTTTTGCGGGGGTGGTGGTGGGGGTGTGGGGTGCGATTTGATCTTTTAGGAGAATCAAGCATTTGTTTTCATTGGTAGGCTTGAAATTTATCAAGCTGCAATTTGTGTGCGAACTTGTTACATATTTCAGGAAATTGGGTTTTTTAGTGCGCGAAATTGAACTAGGGGTTGAGAGTGGGTGGTTCCGACAAATTCCCAGCCAGCACGCAATCTGTATGACCCCGTATCGCCCCGAGTCATTAGGCTATTCACTATAGTTCTTGCGTCATTCCTACTCAGCACAGGATGGTCCCATATCAGCTGTAGGATCAATAACACCTGTACATCCGGCTTCAGCTGTAGTTGCTAAAGCTATCTGAGTATGTTTATTATGCTGCGTTTAGCAATATTCCAGCAATATCACGGCGGGGGACACCAGAAATGGGCTTCACACATTGTACCCATGTGGGCAATCGAACCCGGGCCTTCGTCGTGACGAGCGAACGCTTTAACCACTAAGCTACCCCACCGCCCCCATAACGGTTCGGATAAGCGCTGATACAATAATCTCCCGATATTCTTCTGCTGGGGATAACAGTTGAACCTAAGACAGGATGGTCAGTTGATAAGTGTAAGTATTAGTGAACTGCTGCGTGTTTAAGCTGCCGACATGTAAGCAGTGAAGCGTAGAAGAGCCATTCCCTTAAACAACATACTCTAGCAGTTATTCCCTTGAGGTATGTGACATTGTAGGCATGTGTAGACCTAACTTCTGCTTTTGTCACACAAGACAACACTCGTATATGAAATGGGTGAGATGTAATGCTGTTCAACGTCGCGTCCATGTTTATTTCGCTACACGAGAAAGTGAGCGTGCGTGCGCGCGTACGCGTGTGTGTGTGTGCGCGCGTACGTACGTGCATGCGTGTGTTGCTGCTTGAACTTCGCCGGACTAGCCCCTGGATACAACGGTTTAACTTCGATACCCCATTCAGAAACTGACGCTGACTTCCAACAGACAGGACTTTGTCTTAATAATAATAAGTCATCTTCTATAGAGCACAGTCTCCAAACACCAAGTGTTTGATTCTTATTACCCCGGATAACCCAAGCTCCCTGTTAGGCGCTAGAAGGTTATAGTCACATGACTTTATCCAACCGGGTACCCATTTTCTGCTGGGTGAACAGAGGCAATTTTGAACAAACTCACTTGCCTAAGGTGAGACCACACGTATCACATGTGCTTCGTTATGAGCAGGATTGAAGTCCTAGAAATTCTCAGGAGTCAAGTTTTCCAACACGGTCACCCATCCAATGACTGTCCGAGCTCGCAGCTGCTTAACTTCACTGATTCGTGACCTGAACTCTGTGCACAGGACCACACGCCACCACACGTCTTATCCCCTTGATGCCGAGCGTGGGTCGGGGCAACAAGAAGTCCCGTCGTTACACTTTATTCTGCTATGCCAGGGGATCGGTGCTGAGCTCTGAGCAGATAGTTTTAGGAATGGAGTCCCATGGCTGCCTTCATGCTGACAAAAACCTACACATACACTGCATGACAAAAGAAAGTACACATCCATCTTTGATCGTGGCTAACAGTGAAACAAACCAGAAATCTCTTTCCGATGGTGATGTATTTATCCCAGTGGGGCCCTGCAGGCTCTACACGACCGTTTGTATCCAGTAAGGTTCTGATCACGTTTGTAATGTTTGGATCAAATCAAATATTCCGGGGTGTATTTTGCCGGTCAGTATAATTATCAAATATCAAATGCGCCATACACAATATGTATGTATGTATGTATGTATGTATGTATGTATGTATGTATGTATGTATGTATGTATGTATGTATGTATGTATGTATGTATGTATGTATGTATGTATGTATGTATGTATGTATGTATGTATGTATGTATGTATGTATGTATGTATGTATGTATGTATGTATGTATGTATGTATGTATGTATGTATGTATGTATGTATGTATGTATGTATGTATGTATGTATGTATGTATGTATGTATGTATGTATGTATGTATGTACTTACTTATTCTTTTATTTATTTATTCCCTCATTCATTCATTTATATATACTCTCCCAAAAAAGAAACGCATATAGGAATTTCTACTGTATTTTTATGTTTATTTTGAAACATCTTTTTAGGCTTTATGAGTCAATGAAATATAGCGAAATTGCACACTGGGAATGGAGACTTATCCGTCTTTGGCACCAACTCGAGGAAAGTCAGTTTAGGTGTCACATGGAGACGTGTGGTGGCGCTGAAGTCAATACCTCGTGTGACCACCGTGGGCATCAAGAACTGCACGGCATCGCCTCGGCATCAAACGAATAAGTCTCAGAATCTCGTGTTGCCCAATCGCAGCCCACTCTGCCTGTAGTGCCTGTGCGAGTTGCTGAAGTGTGTTGGGCTGAGGGTTACGGCGTCGCACCCGTCTGTCCAGGGCATCCCACAGATGTTCGATCGGGTTTAAGTCCGGTGATCTTGAAGGGCCAGGGGAGCACGTTGATGATGTGGTTCTGGGGAAGTCTCTAGTGTGACGTGCTGTGTCGGGCCTGGCATTGTCCCGTTGAAACAACTCCCTCTGGCGATCAATGATTGGACTGACTGACTGACTGAGTATGGTTTTACGCCGCTTTTAGCAATATTCCAGCAACATCACGGCGGGGGACACCACAAATGGGCTTCACACATTGTACCCATGTTGGGATTCGAACCCGGGTCTTCGGTGTGACGATCCAACGCTTTAAGCACTAGGCTACCCCACCGCCCATCAATGATTGGAAGGAGGTGTGGGCGTAGGATTTCGTCACAGTACCGTTGAGCTGTCAGGTTGCCCTGGATCATCACCAAATCACTTCTCCTACGGCAGGTGATGTCTCCCCACATCATAACACTTCCCCGGCCGAATCTGTCCACCTGGGGAACGCAAGCGTCGGCGAAACGTTCACGTCGACGTCTGTACACCCGCATTCTTCCATCGCGTCGTTCCAATAGAAATCGTGATTCATCAGATTCACCAGATTCTACGCCAATTCGGTAGGTTCCAGGCCTGAACGTTGGTGCACCATTGAACTCGATGTCGACGATGTTGTTGTCGAAGCACAGGACCAAAATAAGGTCTTCTGGCACGTAAACCAGCCTCTCACAACCTGTTCCTGACGGTCTGTGCAGAAAGCCTCCTCAATCCGGGTATATGTCGAGCGGTACTGGTCGCCGTAGCTGTTCGATGACGCAGGTGATGTACCCGGATGTAGCGATCCTGCGCCGCAGTGGTCGCTCGAGGTCGCCCACTACGAGGGGCATCTGCTACCGCATTCTGCCGGCGATATCTCTCCCAGAGCCATGAAATGGTGCTTTGGTGAACATTCATGCGTCGGGCAACTGCACGTTGAGACGCCAGCTTCAAGCAAACCAATGGCGATATGACGGTTGGCTTCACTTAGACGTGGCATTTTGCGTTCGTCAACAATATTCCAAATACATGTACAGTGAATAATCGACAGACAGCGATCAACCTGTTATACCCATCATTGAGACTATCTGATCTCAAACTTTCACGTGCATTGCATGTGAATTGTGTATTCTGTGACACTACACGCCGAAATTGAAAATCATGCTGTTAAATACGGGTATTTTACGGATGGTGCGTTTTGTTGTGATGTTTCAAAACATAAACATCATAGGACTCATAAACAGAGCAAAACCTTTTATACAATGAATCACGTTTTAATTCATTGCTACATGAAATTGCTATTTTCATGATGCGTTTCTTTTTTGGGAGAGTATATTATTTTATTTGTTTGTTCGTTCGTTTATTTCTTATTTATGTACCCTTCATTCATTTATTTATTTACTTACTTAAACTGTCTCTATTTTCTATATCTGATAGTAAATGGGCTCTTAAATACTGACTAGAGGCAATAAATACATTCCGAGAA